ACAAGGTAGATATCATCATTATACATCATGTATATGAGATTGGTGATGATTATAATAACATTCATATTATAGTACAATAAATGTTGAAAAGTTAATTATTAGACAAGTTGTAACTTTTTATATATACTGATTCAACATGATTAATTGAAAATATCATCTATTTATCTATATATCTACAGTATATTCAAATTTACATTCCAACTCAACTTTGAAATTTCAGACCCAACAGGGTAAAAATCTTTATGTTTTAAGCAGTGCCTTATAACTTTTTCTAGACTTTATATTTTTCAAATATTTTTGAGATTATAGTCAACTCATATGTGTATCTATCATATTTGAAATGATTGTGTTCCAAGTCATACTCGTTACTAGGAAATGAAAAATAAAAGTTAAGCACTAGTTTTCAGAGTTGATTTTCTGAATAAGTACAGTGAATTAAAATTCCATTTCTTTTTTATTATATAGTGTACAACGTCTAGTATGATATTGGTAAAAGTCAATTTGCAACAATTGGACAACTAAATTTGGGTAATGGATTTACCCTACAGTCTCCCAAACCCCAAACCAAATAAATGATAATATCGTGTTCCACATCTCAAATAAGGTGGACTTTCTTCAAATTATATTTTTTCATTTCAATAAATGCATCCAGTAGATAGTACATGGTGATTTGTCAGGAGAATGGATGGAAATCTGAACGGTCCAGAAACAACTCCAATTTCACTGAAATTGATATCATGATATGTAGACACTCTAATTAGCATATGGTATCAATTTCATGAATATTGGTGCAGTAGATATCGACATGTCAACTCTATCAATTTATTGACATGATATCATAGATTATACTCCAACTCATTCATTTTACATACAATCAGCCTAGAGTTGATACCACATAGTCTGTACATCTATTAAATACATCTAGTGTAGTTTGGAAACAGTTCAAACTACTTTTATAAAATTAATCAGTAAATGTTCAATGTCAACAGTATATATATCCTAGTGAACACTCTATCTCAATGAAAGTACATTCAATCATCCTGTAACTTTACCAGATATGTTAAATTACACTATTACACATCTGGTATCAATTTCATAGTGTTAGAATTGAATTCAATATGATAATAATAACAATTTTTCAAAAAGTCAACTTTCAGTACAAAGATTACACTCCATCTCAGTCAATTTACAAAATATCATACAAGTACCAAATATGAATACACTTCCCTTAATAAAGAGAACAATCTGATAAAGTTGCATATTCATGGCTCAATATCTTCAAGTCAACTAAGGAACGTATAAGGTAATCAATAGGGAAGAATCTTATTTTCAAAATTAAATTTTACTATGATACTATATTCACTGAATAATGAAATACTTATACAAGAATCACATGTTCAATTGTTATATTCATGTCAGTAATCAGTGAAGGTGACACTTCTTCAACCTTAGTGTACACATCTCAATATGCATACTGTCAATTCCACTGAAACTTGAAATATTACCTATCTAGAAA